TATATATATATATATATATATATAATCAAGTAGAAGTTATATATATATGTATGTATATGTATATATATATATGTATGTATATATATATGTATGTATATATATATGTATATATATATGTATGTATATATATATGTATATATATATGTATGCATATATATATATATATTCAGAAAATAAGTAGATAATGTATTCTGTGACCAAATTAGACCTTTGGAAAGATATACTCATCTGTTATCAGAAATCTGTAACAGTCATTAGAGTTACGTTATCAATTGACCACATTTTATAGTAACAGAACTATAATGTGGTAAAAAACATAACGAGGAAACCTAAACATATGCAAAGGGTGTATCATGTTTAAGCAGCTGCACAAGTATATGTGGTTGTATATGTGGCAGCTTTTTCACGTATTTGCAGAACATGGAAGTGGCTACATTGATGAATGCAGCGGCATATGTGACACATATGCTTCATGCAATGTGACCATATGACCACATATGCAAATGTGGCCACAGTAAATGCTTTTTAGAATATTGGCTCTTTATCAAGCATTTCATTTGAAAACTTGAAGCAAAAATAAGAACTTGATTAGTAGGATTAATTGAATCATATATGTACGTATAACAATGACCAATGAGGAATACATATACATATATATGTATTAAGAAATAACTGGATTGTGTTCACTGAAGATTCCTAATGGATTCTTAAGATCATTTAAGTTTAAAGATGATTCCTGTGTCAGGCTATGGACCAAATAATAATAAATACTAAGATTATTTTTCTAAATGAAAAAGATCCTGTGAATTTAAGATGAGAAGACAAAGTGTATAAAGTCAAGCAAGGCAGCGTCAACTACCTGAAATAGATTTGGATCAAAAAAATAGAATGCCTACCATATTTTCTTGCTCAGACTTGATGGAAGACAAGCCTTCGAGAAAGAAAATAAATTTTAAAAAGATTCACACAAATGATGTTAGATCATCGTAGAATGTTTTATGGAAGAAATATGATTTATTAGTATGCCACCTCATTTTAGGAAGGAAATGTTCAAAGAAACATGTCCATATATGAATTATCAATACACTTTAGGAAGGAAATGTTTGAAGAAAAGTCCTCCAATTTCTATCTACCATACTTTCTTTTTTAGGATTTAGCCACAGGCTCAACACTGTAAATTTGTACAAATCAATAGCTGCCCTAATCTACTTATTTTATTTCCTTGTGCTCACCTCTCCCAGAAATACAATACTCGTGTCAAAACAACATCAAAATGAGATAACTATAAACTTAGAAAAGATAATTGTTGCACCAACCATGACTTCCTCAAGAAGCTTTTTTTCCCAATTGTACAGCTTCTGCAATGTCGACGAAAGATTACCGCAGTCCATCGCTTTATCTTCCTCAAATACCAAAAGATCTTCATTTTTAGAGCTCGAAAGTGGAGGTAACCCACATATCATCCTGACAGAAACTGCTTAGAGAAAACAATGTGCACGAAAAACAAAAAATAATCAGATTTTGCTCCATATGTTCTTCCAAATACAAAAGCCCAGAGAAGAAATTGCAAGACTCGGTTCTTTACCTTTATATACAGAATTCTTCTGGTGATATAAAAGCTTTCCGACTTCCAGCATCTTGGACACCTGATTAGCCGACTCAGACGCCCTATCGAACTGAGTCCTTATCTCCTGCACAACCTCAGAAATATCCAGATAACTCCGAGAGACTGTATATCCCACGGCACTCCGTCGCTCTGCTGGCTCAGTCACTACGCTTTTCTCCACCACATGAACCTCATGCTCCAAGCTACTTCCTGCTTCCACTGACCTCGACTTTCGATTGGGATCCTCCCCAGCACTGCCTGTCACACCCTCTTTCGACCCCGTGGCAACCTTACCAGCATACTCTCCATTCGCAGCAGCGGACGTTGAGGCCATGAACTTTGGGTCGCCATAGGCTTCCTTGACGACCTCCTGGTCTTCATCCTCCAGATCAGGGATCCCTTCCTCCTCTCTTAGCTCCTTTGAGCTTCGGCTTGGCGTATATGGAGCATAATAATTATCGTACGCTTCGAAAGGATTTAGAAAGTCCCACGCCGAAGCCTTAGGAGAAGGCGGTGGTGGGGGCTCCCGAGAAGTAGAACTTTCAGCTGCCACGGCTGGCGGTGGAATGTTTGGAGGCGGCGAAGACGAGCCGAAGAAGCCGCCGCTGCCACCGCCGTAGCTCGCATACGGGTAAGAAGGATAAGGGTCAAAGTTCGAACTTTGAGGGTAATACGGGTAGCCGTAGTAAGGGTAAGACACGGGAGCCGGTTCGTCGACGGAGCCGACGCGTATCGACTCAGAATTAGGCGGTTGCTGCTGATAGGCGACTGAGGGCTCCGCCGGGCGGCTCCGGGCGTAGTTAAGGTTGACATAGGTCGGCCCAACGGGGGCGTCATCCGCGTGGAGATGGTGAATCGGAGACGCTCCGTCCGAGTGAAGGGGGGAATCTTCGTCGGAGTCGGAATCAGTCGGGTGAAATTGAATGTGTGAACCGGAATGGGAGTGGGAGTGGCCGCCGGAAGCGGACGGGACGGAGACGGCGGCCGCCACCGCGGCGGTGGGGGGAAGCGGGTCGCCCTTCCTCTGGGCGGGGAGGGGGAGGACAGGTGAACCCGGCGGCGGCAGCGCGGTGGCGCCGTGGAGTAACCCCTGGAGGGCGTCACCGACGGAGCGGAGGGACCGTGCGTAGGCGTCGTGCGTGTCGGCGAGGGCGTAGCGGTAGCGGATGGCGTCGGCGAGGAGCTGCGAACGCTCTCGGCAGAGCCGCACCGCGCCCTCCTCCTCCATCTTCGATCCGCCGCAGCCCATTCCAAAGCAGCAACAAGAACCCCCCCAAAATCAGAGGAGGGAGGGATATATGAAGGGAACCCTAGGCGCAGGAGATCACATCACTAGGGTTTCCTCGGGGGTGTACGAGTCGGATCGGGAACGGATCGGAGAGCATAGGGTTCGGGAAACGGGGAGATGGGAAAGGGAAAGGGAACGGGCGAGGGCGGCGTCGGGAGACAGAGGAGGACGCGGTGGGAGTAGCGACGGAAGTAGGGGATACGATATCATCGACAGCGGAGCGGAGTCCGGAACGGGAAGTCGCAACAAAAGCGAAGACGGCTTTTGAGGGCGGTCCGAATCGCTTAGCTCGGACAAGATAAAAGGCCACAGAGCAACGAAAGAGAATGGCGACTTGGGATACGGTAACACCGAGACGTACTTTTGACGTTTGTCTCCGCCGTGTGCGCTTTTTGTTTATTATACTTAGTTATTTATAGTGAAGTGACCAAAATACCCTCCAAGGACCGCGATTGTTCCTAGTCGCCTGTCGGATTCCGAGTCGGATCGGCGCGTCCGCGACTCGTTCCTCGTGCGATCGGTTAGGAAAGAGGAGGACGACCGAGTTCGAGCGGGCACAGGGAGGGAAGGAAGGAGGAAAACGACTCACCAAATATTAAGACCGCTACAGGATTATAACACGTTGACGGTTTGACGAGGCATGCACGAGTCGGAGACTAAGAGAGACGTAAACCGATGGAAGTCTTCCGAATCAAGCGATTTAAGGTGGACGAGTCAAACGAAGTCAAACCTTCCGCGGAATTGGCAAAGCTTATTTTAGCAGTATTATTATTGTTACTTGCGGCGATGGGTTAGAAGATTGGAGCAGATGAAACCTAATGGCAAGTATTCCTCCGATCCCTCGTCAACAATGATGGCTGCGTAAAAGAATTTATATGTTATTGGGTGGTGTGGAGATTAATTTTGACTTTTGTGAGGAGGTGTTGGAATTTTCGTAGCTGCAGGAATTGGACCTTCTGGAAAACATGAATTGTGACGGTCAAACATTGGAATTGGAGATTAGTGATCGCACGCTGATTTGGAGGGATTAATATTTGGACCATTTCAATAGTCCATGGGAAATATAAATGGTCAGCATCTTATTAGGTTGAATCATTTTTACCATGAGAATTTCTAATGGTATGGTCGCCGCTCATAATACAAATGCACATTTGTGTTACATGCGATGAAGTAATTATGACCAGAAATAACCCAACACACTTTTAATCTCGTGTGTGCCAATGAGTAGATGGCTATGTGGGATCCATCTACGAAAACCTTTTGTACAAGACAATCGGCGATCGAGGTTTCTTGTGGTTGTTTGCTCGTGTTCGATGAAGCGGGATTAATCTAGTCAGATTATATACTCATAGTAAATAAAGAATCATACTTTTAATATCATGTTATATATCATGCAAAAATTATATCATGTTATTTTTTATATTGATGCGGCCGATGTCAGTAATGATCGGACGAGTCTAATTTGATTCGAGCTTATAGCTGTGTGTAAAAAGATTTGAGAAGAAAAGGGGGAAACGAATGCTTGCTCAATGGTCGAGAGATGTTTGGAAATCAAGATCGAATGAGTTTTTCAAGGTGATGCTCAAGTTAGTGACGTAACGAAAGGAGAAAAATTTAATACACCGATTAATATGTATAATTAAAAAATATTTTACAATACGTATGGAATATATTAGGATTTATAAATACTTTAAGATTCATTAAATCAATATCAATATTTTAATATAAAAAAGAGACATGAGGAATGAGGAATCCTCGTACGAGAATGAAATATCATGGAGGAAGGAAACCGTTTCAATTATGATTTGATTTTTCTATAAATATCATATATATATATATATTTGATATTCTTAATTTCTCTCTCTAGAGTATATACTCTCTGTATACTACGGATTTCAACGTCGGTCAGCGAAGAGAACGCCAACGTCAACACCAAATGATATAGGACGGAGGTTGACTTGGTTACGATGCGAATGCTGATATGATGGTTGATGTGGGTGTCGATCACACTACCCTACTTTCTATTATTTTCCTCCCCCACACTGTTCGTCGCGCTTATCCTCAGGCAGTCACATACGATCGAGCGATCATGCTTCGTATTAAACCATGAAGACGGTTTCCTTGCAACAAGGACGCTAATTGTACTCTTTGCATGACTAGAAAATACAGCAGCTGAGAGAGAGAGAGAGAGAGAGAGAGAGAAGGAGGGAATCAAGTTAATGATTGACGCCAGGGCGAGAGGGACCGTAGCGAGCAGATCGCATGTGCTCGCTCAACACATGATCCTCAGTAGGGCTGCTGACCCAGCCCTGCTTGCTCCAACTTTTTTCCTTCGTTCGGTGGTGGTGATGTGGAGAGGAAGAGATTCCCATTTCATCGAGCACCTTTCATGCATTCCACCGACTTCAAATGGCTCTCAACGGGAGTCACGGAGGAGGAGGGAAAAATGAATACCAGTGATAAACGAAGGAAGAGAGCTACGAGTCTCGGAAGACTGGCGTTGCATGGTTGCTGGAGCAAGATTGCAGGCACCACACGCGATGCTTTCCGGTGGATTTGGTGAGACTTCCGACCCCTTGTGTCAGAGGTAGCCAACGCAGGACACACATGGCGGTCACTTTTGTCTTTCTCTTTCAGCACCACACCTCAGAATTGAGTCGTTCTGTCATTGGTTGGAGTGGTTAAAGTACTCCATCAAAATGGACCCAAATTGCCTCAAAAGAAGATACCAACGCCAGGGAGAAATTTAAAAAAAAAAAAGAAAAAAAAAAAAAGGGATGGTGAGTCACCCTCCCCCACTGAGAAGTAATCATGGCGGGAAGAGGGAAACCTCCTCTCCCTCCATTGGCTCTCTGCAGAGAATGCAGGCTCCGAAGCTTTTTGTGGTTTGGTGGTTCAGCTGCCACTCTCGTTTCCACGAGGGATTGCTTGTGACATGCATTTTTCTTTACGGTAGAATGGACAGCCCAGCCATTATTTCTTGGTTTCCTCATTCCCTTGTAGTAGTACCATTGTTGTGAGGACGATTCCCCAAATCATTCACTGGTGTTTAAGATCGGCAGAAGCAGTTGAAGCCAACCATTTAGGATTGACTGGTACGATAACAGGATGTAACCAAGCTGCAGAAAGAAGATGAATCTGGAAGAAGTGAGTACAAAACAAGGTGGAATTGGAGACTCACAGACATCAGGTCATGGGGCCAATGCGATCTGGATTGTTCTCTTGGTGTAACTGTACCACTCAACGCTGGGGGAGAGAGAGAGAGAAGCTGCTGACAGTTCCACACACACATTATTGCATATCATCCTGACAGAAACTGCGCCGAGTGAAGTCGGTCTTCATCTTAATACATCATTTCGATCCTGACAAGACTATATATATATATATATATACACATATACAATGGGTAATCTTTAGTCTCTCATGCGTTACAGATGTCAAACCAATTCATCACGCCTCCAAAATCCTCTTCTCCTTGCACCGAACACCAGAGCTGAGCTCTCGCGATCCCTGTGGGACACTGCAGCAACAGCTCTTCCGTTCCGGAGAGTAGAACGAGGAGAAAGGTGAAGGGGAAGAAGGAAACAAGCGTACAAGCTTAATTAGCTAGCTGTGTGAGGCCAGTGGAGCACATGAGACCCGACAGCATATGGTACGCCATTGCTGCCCCCCTTAACTTCTTCTTGCTTCTCTCCCAGTTGCGTCACATGGCCTCCGATACGTACCCTCTTCAGTGGTGTACGCAGTGCCGTCCGACTCTCGCACTAAACTGGCCTTTCGGAGACGCCTCTTCGATCGTCGTCGATCAAAGAGAGATAAATAAAGAACATGATCTCGAAAACATCAACGGGAACAAGATCACGTGGCATCATTCTCTGCTTCCGGTCAATCCCTACTGCTCCACCACGGTCATCAAGCGTGGTCAGATAAATCTTCACGAAGGTGGTAATTGACTTCCTACTATTTTTATTTGATGTACTAATTCACGACGTTTGAGATCGACAAGCGAGCGACGGGGTACCTGAATTGATTGAACATGGATGAATTCCACAGGCACTGTTGGACATGAATTGATTGATGCATGGAACGGTCAACTCACGGTGGTGTAGGTAGGTAGGTAGGTAGGCTATCCGGGACAACATGGATTTGCTTTCGTTGCCGTCTAAAGAGCAGACCGATGTATCACAAAGCTGGGTAACCAATAGGATCAAGATTTTTTGATCCTTGATGGATAATTTCATGTATAAGGGAATAAATTACGAGAGAATTAGATGAACAAAACTATACATCATTAGCATGTCAAGATAAACCTTGATTTATTTCTAGAAATATATAAAATTAGATCTAATAAATCGGGTTAAAACTTTAATATGGAGAACGCATTCATTCCCCTTAATTACAAACGTGCGGTTGACAAGTTAAGTTAGATTCAGAATTGTCAACTCATAGGAGCGCAATTTTTTTTTTGTCTTGTTGAAAATTCGTGTCTATTGCCCTTCATCAACTACCGTCGATGGTTTCTCTCTTTCAAACTTTGACTCAACATTTTTTTGTGCTGCTTCTACGCCTGAAACATCAATCCATGCACCCGTAAAAAAGAAATTGTATGACCTCAAGATTTATTTAAGTGCGTCCAGCGTAATATGTGCCCATGTAGATTTTTTTGAGTAGTCCATAAAAACCAGGAGGTGAAAAATTAAAAGAATAGAAATCTAAAAAACAACAAATTGTTATTATTATTTCTTATTCTTTTTTTTAGCGTAGATGATTGGGCATCAAAAAGACATTACTGTAGGGCAAATATTGGATCCCTATAATAGGAATATTATATTATAATCCGATCTAATAGGATAACTGACCCGTAAACTTTTAAAACTCCTTCCTGGTATGTAATTCCGGAAACAAATGCACTTCTGCTCTGCTGCATGAATGATCCTGTAAGTACAATAAAATGGGGGATTCAAAAGCATACCACGTGTGGATGTTTCAGTGAATCTAAAAGATGGAGAAGTGAACTCAACCCTGATCACACATGAGAAATTGTTTTGCATTTTATATGGCTGGAAACCTAGACATGAATTCTAATTGGGAGGATGACAGAAACCGATGCAAGATAGTTGACTAGTGAGATAGCGGTGCACACAAAAATCTACAACCTCCTGGCACAGAAAAAAATAGACAAATAAGTCGAGATATCAACAGCATCGACAAGAAATAACATCAATGCATGTGTATGGCTGTGCTCTGGCTTCAACATCTTCAACCGGCGGAACTGCTTCCAGTGCATGCTTATCGTCACAGGAGCAGCAGAACGCAATCAAGTTCCTATAAATGCCTTTACTAAATGGATGAACCTTGCTTGGGAATCCCCTGGACATCACAAGATTGACATGATTAGCATGTAACTCACAGTGGGACATCAGCACGGATGTAGCAGTACTCAACATGAACTAGTTCCTTTAGTTCTTCTACCTCAAGTACAGTATCCGTCGCCTCCTCATGATTTCATGTGTAGTTTGATTTGTTAATGCAAGATAACTACAGAAGAACCACACAGATTAGCTCACAAATATGCATTCTAGTTCATATAAGCAGCTAACTTGTAAAGAGTAATACAAATTCCAAAAGAAAACTATTATGTAAACAAAAATGGTGAAAGAAACGACACAATTCAGTCAGCATATGAATAACTCAATCGTCCGTATATGTTATACAACTCATTAAGAACAAAGTGTGTTGTGAAAGTGAAATAATAGGATATATCCTGCAGGAATGATGGAGCTAACAAAGCACCATATGATAATTGATATCCACTATCTGCTTCATGATGGAACATCATATTCTGTTTGCAAATAAGCTATTCTTATTTAACTTCATCATACAACCTATATGAAATAATCTGGAGTATGTTACTTGGAAAGCAAACTTGTAAAACCCCAAAATGCTTGGCAATATACCACAACGAATTGTTGAACTTGTGCTGATTAGTTTTGGCTTCTTTTGGGATAGATGTTAAAGGGAGTCAAATGCGTTCTGGAGAAGACTTTTTGAGAAGTCGACTAATTCTACGATCTTTTCATGTCAGGTAAACCATGATTTTTGAAGTGCTGTAACTCATTTCGGCCTTGATTTGAGCATGTCATGTTAAATATGCTTTTTTCCTTTTCCTTTTCTTTAAGTGCTTCTTTTGTTTCCCCTTTAACCTTCATTTCTGTGTTGTCTAGTTACTTGCTATCTGACACTACTAGCCCTATGGATTAATTGGAGAACTGGATTGAGTGTTTGCATGTCATTCATCGATGACTTGATCACTAATATTCATCCATCATGATTAAGTGTATGTGAAATCAATAAAGTCACCATCAACTAGTATAAAAAGTTTATCCTCACTGTCTAAACATGCCAAAAAGCATCCAGAACATGAGAGCAAAGTTTCCTTAATGCATCCACAGAATATTTTATTAACTGCTTATACTTAAGCTCGTTCTATAATTCCTGATGGCTAACCACTATAAACTAAGTCTATAAACTGTGTCTACTTTTTATGCCATGTGGATAGCTTGTAATCCCACACACAGATTATAATGATTAGGACTTTGTTCAGAATATACACAGAAAAGGGTGGCCCACTGCATGAATATTTTGGGAGTTTCAAATGCATGTAGCTATATCCCTAGATGCAAAGAGGTTATTTTCATGACCAGAACCCTTATCTTCCAATTCATAATGGAGCAACCTCACCATGGTGCCAATGTTCCCTATATAAAATTTTGAATTGTGCGCATTTGTTTCTTAGAAATTAACTCATAGAAGAATGAGCTTGTATTAGTTTGAAATATTATCTTCTACAACCAAAATTTTCCATCAAGATGGAGTATCAACTTTGACAACCTAAACACAAAGTGAAACATAATTTACTCACCCCCTAGTTTAAAGTGGTATCATGTAAACAGCATATAGCCAAGACAAGTCGTTTTATATTATGATGACATTTAGTCAAGTCACACACAATTCAAGCAGTAGAGAAGAAAAAATTATCTCATGCAAACACTTGGGTATATCTCAAATGAGAAAAGAATCTTATAAGAGGTAAGCATTGTATACAATGTAGAACATCTCTTACCTGTGAAAAAGTAGCAGCAAAATTAGAAAGATGAAACAAAAAACCAATATCACGATTAATATTATTGCAATGAGATCCTTCCACCTGATAACATATACAACACAAGTATTTGGTTCAGTTACACTTACATATAAGGAACAGACACTAGAATTGTTAAAACATTCCAATATATCTTGATTTTAGCATTAAGATAAACAGTGCCTTTTCACAATTTCAAGGTATAACTGATTGCAGAGGAAAGATTCTATACCAAGCTTTCATGGCTTTTGACACTAAGAGATCAATGTACAATGTGCCAGTCCAGATGCAGAGCATTGTTTCTTCAAAAATATACCACCTATGACAAATTTCAGAGACGAACATATTAGAAACAATGCAAAATGAATAAATGAAAAAATTGTGATGTTCCAGTGTTAGTGCAACGTAGGACTTCCAGACCACAAATAACAAATGATTTAAAGGGATGATATAGCTAAGTAATAAGCTTCTCACAACTAGGTATGCAGTACCAGGTTCAGTAAGTGTACGACACAAAAAAAAATTTGAAGCTTTAGACTAATTTCTTAGTTCGACTACAAGTATTACAATTCATAGTCAAGAGGTAACCAATAATCTTCAATCTGATCAGAGCAAAATCAGAAACACTTGATGGAAGGATAACAAATCCCCATGAAGAATCTGACATCACTGGAACTGTCTGTCATAGCAAGCCTCGATTAACATGAATCATTAAAAATAATGTGCCTTTAACTGCCTCGTAGTTTAGTAATTATAAATTCCAGAATATGTTTCCAGATCAGCTATTTGCATGGTTCAGATTGTATCGCTAAGCACTTAGGAAATAAGCACGCTACACAGAATTACAAAATGCTTGGTAATGATCACGAATTACATGATCTTTCTTGAAGAAAGATGTACTTGCATGGAGTATCATCATAATTTAAGAAGAAGCTTATATATTATAATTAATACTCATTTGCCAACAGATAACCATTGGAAGGTCTGTACAAATATCCAATAAATCATTCTTCTAATATTAAGGGCGTATATTAGTGCTGTTGAACCTTACAGATGCTGAACATATGTATGCCATTTGTGAAAGACATATTTCATAGATGTCAAGACTGAATATATTATGGCTAGAAACAAAATTATGTGGTGTATAGGAAATAACTAAAAACAATGTCATAGTTTTAAACATGCTGTTAGTAAAAGAATTGATTAATCAATTGGTTTTCATAATCAGTTAATATTTATGTTCTCCAAATCAATTAATACAATCTTGATTGAAAAATTAACTAATTATTGGCTTTAATTTTAGATCAAATAATCATTTTTTAAACCTTCTAATTAATGCTTTAGATTTAATAAAATATCATTGTTTAATTTATAGCAGGGTTTGCCTTTTCGGGTATCGGACCCGTTTTGACAATCTATTTGAATGGTACGTGCCGGTCTATACCAGTGTACTGACACAATATGCCGGTGCATACTGGTGATTCGATAGGGAAGAAAAAAAAGAGAGAAGTAGAAAGGGTGGTGGAGGAACAGCGGAAGGAGAAAGAAAGGAAGAGAGAAGAAGAGAAAGAAGTGGAGGACGAAGAAGGAAGAAGAAGAAAGATGAGGAAAGGAGCAGTGGCGATGGTGAGGCGGCAGCATCTTACCGGAGAAGAGGGCTCGCAAATCTCTTTTTTTTAATGTTGATTTGGATAGGGGCCCCACCATTTCTTTGATTTTTTTATTAATTTAACTGGATCGCCCAAAACAGAGTGGTCCGCGTATCAGCCCACACCCGGACTGGTACATACTGCCTGTACCATACCGTTTTAGGCGGTGCAGCAAATGTTGATTTATAGCACAATCCACTATTAATGATTTACAACGAAGTTCGTGTACACATACGATGCATGTTCAACCTTGCTCAAGGTAACTGCATCATCAAAATACAAAATCAAGACTGATATATTTGAATCGAGGTGAAGTGCACTTTTCTTTCGATTGTCGATTTTAATCTTTAAGTCATTAAAACAATATTATAATAAATGGCCAACTATTCTAACTTTACCGAAAACGAAAAAAAAACAATATAAGCTCTCTGAAGGTAATGCATTCGAGCTATTTCTTGTTAAATCATCTTGAGAATAAAATGTATACTAGGACCATATGATTAGATAATGTTCTTGTAAATTTTATAACCAACATATTCCGATTCATCGGATGGCTGTGACTGCTTTCTTCCTGTCTTGAGCCAAGATATTAGCCTTTAACTAAGGTCAGCTTGCAGCTGAGCTTATTAAGTTGAAACATGAAAAGATAATTGCAGGAGCAAAAACAGAATACAGCAGAATAAAAATAAGATGAGAAAGTTAGAACAAGAAAAGAAGCCAAGAATAAGTTGAAGAAAAGGAAATATGAGGCCAGCAGCAATTTTTTTAACTGCAGAGATATGACCAATATCAGGGTCAATGGTAGATCTATGTTATCAACTATTTAACTCACACTATAAAAAACTAATGAATAAAAAAAAATCAGAAACAGTATTTTAGATTTGACCAAATAACAATCTATGAATCATCCAATAAATACTTGATCCACTCACCAAAATCGGCAGTGGTTCCTTTTTCCAATGCAGGTTCCTAGCCATGCACAATGATGATCAAATTGGAGGACACACTTGTCACAATCATGGCAATGCCTCGAACGTGGAGGCTGCAAGAGTAGAAAACAATTACAACTTAAACATAGTTCATCCATATGTACTCTTGAAAATTAATATTTGCTGAACATTTAATTAGCATCTGAACAAAAGGCCTCTTTTACAAAGAAATGCATGTGGGACTAAGGAAATTCAGATTTCAATCATACAGCAAATTACAGAAAACTATCTTTTCAGGATTTCATCAGTGTCCTTCATAATACAGTTCAGATAAGAAAATGAAGCTTCATGTAATAATTAACCTAAGCAGGCCATCTGGTTGGCAGTTGTTAATTGTCCAAATAACAAAAACAGATACTAAAAAGCAACTGACATGGAAGATTTGGCTAATTTTCTGTTTCTATTTAATTACATTTAAATAGCCAACTGTTTAGACCCTTTTGAGGTAATGGACCCAGCAAGACAATGATCTAACATAATTAAAATCAATGCCATCACAAGAACAGAATAAATTGCAAAATGCAAAATGTTATATGCAACAACTTCAATGAAATGAATGGTGGGTCACACCTCTTCCCTTAGAAAAAAGCTCTAGTGTAGCCTGGCAAATGAAGTGAAAGATACACTTCCCTTTGTTCTTCAAGCATACATCTTATTTACCAAATGATAAGCAGTGTAGTTCTAGAAGTGGCTACAGAATGATGCTGAGAGATCTTGGCTTTCTGCAATAAATATCATCTTGTTACTGCCAGCTATAACATGGCAGACTAGGGAAAGGATTATTCCACAAAGCAACTCAGCAGAAAATGACTCATGATTATCTGATAAGAACAAGCACGATAAAATGTTCAGCAGAATGTTCGCTGCTAAACCTAATTTAATCAAACACCATTTTCAAATTGAATCTCACATATTAACCATAATTCGTTTACCTCCAATAAATTTATTACCAATGGATAACCTAGCATGCAAAGTGATTGTCTACCGGACCAATCTATAAAGCTCAATGTTCAGTTGCACGGTGCTAGAAACCAATCATTTACTTAAAAGTACAACTATCCAAACACACCAAAAATTAGAAAATAATTATAGATATCTGCCCATTAAGAACATCTAAAACATAAAATAGCATATATGAATTTTGGCTCCAAAAAGTAAACTGCAAAAAATATGTAACAACAAATATTTCGGCATCAAAAGTCACCTATGTAGCTTCAACCTCAGATTAACAAAATATAGAGCTTGATACAAGCATACACTTAAATTAGGTCAGATAGATATTACCTGAATAATGTGGCAATAACTGCACGTCCAAGTCCTACAACAATAGAAAGAAAAAACAGGTAATAAAATTGGAGTGAGACAATTGACTGTAGATACTATTATTGTTAAGTAAGCAGATGCATAGAGAACATGCAAAACAAAAATTCCAGTATGTCAGTTGCTAATCTAAGGTACACGATATGAATTTTCTGTACCTAAAACCCTTATTACAATTTTCTTTCCTGATTTGAAGACAAAATATTTGGTCTTTTATGGTGGAGACAGTTGCAAGCTTGGACTCTTCAACTATGTTGACAACCATTACCCTGAAGGTTTGCAGAATCAGAGAGGAATAAGACTCACTCAACCTAGCACAACAACCTACACCTTACCTCTGAACATTAGCCCCACATATTTCCTGCTTTGTGACACTGTTAACTTAAACTGCCATTTTCCCCAAAGGCCCGAACCTTCATAGATTTTCTCTTTGTTCATCTCGGTAATGCAACTACTACCATGAGAAGCCAAGATGACTTATGAAACAGAAACACACTTCATATCCATACCAAGTACACGACGGACATAATACTGGCATGGTGCCTGTTGGTTATATGCTGGATAATTCCTCAAATTATCTATTTTTTCACATAATTATCAAAATGATCAGGTAGTCATAGCTTTTATGATCCTTAAGTGATACTACGTGAATACTTACTGGAAAACTTCCTCTTGAATGTTGACTTTTATTATTATGAACAAAATAGCTATATAACTGAACAGATTATTTATATGCTATTTGTATTGTACATCAGACTACAATTAATGCATTAAATAATCTTCATTTATCATATGTTCATGTTTCCTTCTGTACATTATTAGAGAATAATATTATTAGGAATATTTACTTTTTATGATGAAGAGGTAGTTTGATGCTAGCATGTTATTGTTCACCATGATATATGGCTAGAATTTTAATACATCAAAGGATGTCAAGTTTATCATATATACGTAAGATATTTCTAATTGCCATACCCATGCCATATCAAATCCTTCTTTCAAAATTGCATCAAGATGCCATGTCATATCCATGCTTCAAAGTAGACAAGGTATTATTACACCATCATGGGTTGATAATTGATTCTTTCTTATAAATTGTATGGAATGCTAAAGCTTACCCGCTGGAAAATCCAGGAGGGTAGAGATCCATCACTTGCCTCAACCATACTGAAGAAACGATTTGAGTGGACGGACTTGGGTTCTTGTTTCTTGTAGTAATTTGCCTTTGCTTGATCATGACATTATTGTAGATATTAGTCGGATAAGCAAAGCATTGTTTAGATTGTTGTGTTCATTCACTATATATATATATATATATATATAGCTTCATTGTAAAACTAAAAAATTGCCTTACATCGAAGCTTGACAAGTTTGCAAAGGTAGCATGTGTTCCACTTCCAGCCATCATTACATCAATAACATACCTAAGGGGACACTGTTAGCACACAAACTGGTACCAAAATACCATAAAGACCCACACTGTCAGTCATGAAAAAAGAGTGTTACCCTGGAGATGAATAAGAAGTGAAGAAATACTGAACCAAAGTAGCCAAATATAGAACCAAGTATATTGCTGTATACCTGAAATTTTGGGTGGGAAACATAGTTAAACATGGAAAAAAATGGTAGTTATAAGCTGCCTAGAGCCAGTAGACTTTTGTTTCTTGATGAAATATAGAACAACAAAGAAACTAAACACCATCACTATACTTAACAGTAAAACACTAGGAAAAGCCCATATACGACGAATATTTTTTGTTGCTGTCGGAATCAGTAGAAGTCCAAATCCTATTGACACAGTAACTGGAAGTGGAAGAAAAGGTATTATCCATGCATATTGATATGTATGTTCCATAAGAAAACAAAATGAAATCTTTAATAATTCTACTATTCTAGTCTAGTCTTAGTAGAATATTCTATTCTGGTAATTTATAGCCATATTATATAGTATAATAAGAAAAAAGAGTTATACCAAAAGGAGTACTTGATTCTAATATAGACACTATGATCCGTATTTAATTTAAATAAAGATCTGTATTTAATTTAAATAAAAGGACCTAGTTATCCTATTTGTTCAATTTTTTTATAGTAATTCCCTAACTCCCTCTGTAACTCCTTCTGAAATTGATTGATTGGATTCCAATACAATAAGGAAAACTTATGTTCATCGGAAGATACTCCTTACTTCGTATAGAACTGAAATAAAGATGACTGAGGTCATCTTTATTGGGTAATGAAATATCTTGTTTAACAGATTAACTACTAGTTTGAATTGTAATTTAAACGACAAACATAGCACTCTGCGCTTAATCAATTAATAGAAAAAACTCTTTTATTTACTGTGCAAATCATAACATAATAATTCATCTAATCTTGTGAAGAGATAGCAGAAGCTGTCCAACCAAAGATCAAGCTGAGGGAACCAGTTTCCCTCTTGAATTCTTTAAAAATCGTGATGAATGGGCTTCTAACACCACCTAAACATTCCTGGTGGTCTAGCAAGCCCTGACAACTGGATTCAATGGGTAGGTTTGTGATAGCAAATAAAGAAAAGTCCACATTGAAATCTCTATATATCCCCAAAAAGTAACTTCTGTTGCACTCGTATATAGGGAAAGATCCATGTGGTTTTGATCCTATGCTGTGATGAATCTGATAATGACAACTAGATACCAAAAAATAAAAATAAAAAAATGGAAAATAAACAACACATTAATAAACTCATCCCAACGCTTGCATAAGGTTTTATGCAGAAGTGATACCAGCAATCAACAAGAATTATGTACCACAGAGTACCTTGGATCATCATTCAAAAGAAGTTCCATATATACCACTAAAGAGTTCCAAAGGCATATTCTCCCCTTGAAAAAAACAACGCACCACAAAGTAGGGTGAAAAAAATTATCAAAGCACACAATTAAAAAACTGTATTTTTTTTTTAGCAGCTTTCAGCCATTAGCATTTTCCTATCCATTATGTAAGTACTAGAATTCGGTGCCAAAGGCAGCCAAAAGCTTCATTTTGACTTAGGAGCATGATAAAGGCAACATGGAGACGGGGAGAATGTTAACGAACGATCGGCAGCGCAACAGTATGCATTTAGAAGCTACCATAAGGGCAGTTACTTGGAAGTAGATATCCAAATCAAAGAGAGACCTCAATAGAAAGCACAGGATGCGGAACATCAGTAGCGTATCCATCGTTTTCTATCTCAACTTATAAATTCAAGAATCCGAACTATAACAAATTTTACCCCTTCCTAGGAACGTTTAAAGTGATACAGTACCTAAAGCAATACAATTATTAGCCTTTATCCAAACACGAAGCTAAATTCAAGGATAAATCACAAAAGAAAAGCGTACCAAGGATGCTCTCGAGTCCTCCGCCTCAGTTCGGTGTCCAAAATGAACAGTGCTCCTCCGAAGATTACGTGAAGGAGCACCAAAATCAATTTCAAACACAACGCAGATCTCGTCGCTGGAATAGCAAAACAAGGAGAATACAGAAACTGCCAAAAGAATCCACCAAAAACCGACTAAACGACAGATCGGATCTGAGATGGAAGGGCGACTACCGCGGTCGTCGAGGCAGGGGAAGCGGCCTAGCCATCGGCCGGAGGGCCGTCCGGAGGACTCTCGGACGGCGATGGAGGAGCCGACGACGCTGGTCATCGGAGACGCATCGGATTGGCCCGAACTACCAACAAGAGGCAAGGCGCACGAAAGCCGAGGCGCGGCTGCGGGGTTAACGGAGAGAGAGAGAGGGTCACCGGTGGTGCATTTGATCGCCTCGACACGATATCTGAAACAATGATTGCCAGTTTGAGTTGGTATAGGTAACACATTAATGCTACGTGTACTGCAATGAATCGCGGGTAATCCTCATGATCAAGATCAACGATCCACATTGTGCCATTTTATCACGTAAGACGAACGCGTATGTAATACGCGTGGGAATATAGCAGTTGACCCACTGCCCATTTCTCATTATTCATAAAATAATATTTTATTATTTAAGATCTCTTTTATTTTATTTTCCTCCCTCACAGCTCCGCCTACAAATAATACTGTCGCCGGCTCTCCCGACTGTGCACGTACGAAGTTTTCTGACTTAATACAATTGATCAGAAGATAATGTCTTATAGTTTATTATAGAATATACATAATTTTATAAACGTTAAGTTATTATAATAAAAATCAAAATTTATTTTTCACCTTCTCTTCAATCTTCCATTCATCTCATTTTATTCTTTATTTTTTATTATTTTATATGATTAAGAAGAAAAGAGGAGAAAAAAAATCGGAAAAAAAAGGAGAAAGTCACATGTAAGAAGTAAAAATAAAATAAAATTATATTATAGGATTATAAATAATAATAAGGGAGTTATAAATAGTAATATCTTGTAGCAGAAAAATGAATTCGCTTTGGGGACTTCGGTTCCATTGTTGATATAGGGAGTTAGCTACTTTTCATGTCCTGGTCCTTATATTTTTAAAAGTTATATTAAAATCTCTATAATTATGAAAATAAAACATCTATGTTCATTTATCATAATGACGTCAGTTTTATCGATAAAAATATAAAAATAAATGATAAAAAGATAATTTTAATATTCAGTAGCAAACGACATCCGTGGTGACGAATGATGGCACCGTTGGTGTCGACACCGATGTATTTATCTAGTCGCCTTTAACAACAATAAGGTTCATACTCACCGCGATGCCACCCGCCTTCGGAGCACGATTTCGATCTCATCGTTACCCACCCTACGTCACTCTGCATCTGCATTAACATTGACACAGTTACTGCTCGAAAACTACGTTGGTGTTGACACAGATGATGGTGGTCGATCTGCATCCTCCCGCCCCTCTATCATCCCATTTTCCTAGGAGCAATGCCCTAGAATCCCTATCCCTCTCCCACCCTGTCGCAGTTGAGGACACCTCTACCCAACTCCTCCTTTCCACCCCCCCACCCCCCCCTCCCTCGGTCCACTCCCACCCAGAACTCTCCACCACACACAAGAAGTGTTTCGCCACCTTCCCCGACCCATTCGTAACTATGCTCACTCTCTACTCCAATAGCCTCCCATACAACGACGATGATGTGGACAAGCTTTGGTTAGTGTTTAACACCATGTCATAAAGGGCGATGTCCTTCGTTGACCGCTTCCTGCTCTTCGACTTATACAACTCCTACAAGGTAGTGCGCTCCATCATAGACACCACAGTTTGTCTCTCTCAGACCGAGTCGTTGGGTTTCCTCTATTGCTAACCCGACCTAAACAACATATAATGCATCTACGTCGGTGCCGATGTAGTTGTTAAGTATTGTTGCTTTGTATCTGTATCGATGTTGATGTAGTTGCAAGCGAACCTTTCGCCACTCGGTAAGAGATGGTGTCGAAATTAATGTATAGTGGGAGGAGCGACAAGAGCTCCGGTGACCTTAGCTTTGGGTCAAGGCTAGGATCTGCCCAACGGGTCAGTGGCGAGGCGACCATCATCTTCGCTATAGATGTTACGGTGAGCACTCCCATCTTTAGGGTAAGACGCTCACTAATTGTGTCAGCATCGATGCATATGTAGAGCGACATGGGGCGAGCGACGATGAGATTGGCGACACACTCCTCATGGAGGCAGATGGTGTCATGGTGAGAATGGACCTTATCATCATTAGAGGTGGCTAAGCAATTATGTCGGCGTCGATGCTAGCAATGCCATCGTTCGTCACCACCGACGTCGTCCACCAATAAACCTTAAATTTACTTTTTAACCATTTATTTTCATATTTTTATCAATAAAACTAACGTCACTAGGGTAAATGGATCTAGTTATTTCACTTTCGTAATTATATGATGTCAATGTAATTTTTTAAAGTGTACAGATCGAAATACTAAAGGTAGCTAACTATATGAGGTAATCCGTAATTAATCTGTTAGTAGGGCACATCTTATCCATCTTAAGATCCAATCCACTCATCAAATGTTTGCATAAATCTTAAAGATAACTAATAGACCGAGGTTGGTATGTTGGAGGATCCGAATAATCTGAACCTGATCCATTAAGGATGCTATCCCCTCTTCACATTTTACCTCTTCCACTAGGTCGTCTCAAATAAACTCCAAACTGCACCTCTCGCTGTTGCCTACTCCGACGCTGTTGTGCCATCCATAGTTCTTGTATGTTCTCATCAAAATTTAATCTTTCATGTCTATAATCTTCTCCTTCTTATCCTTCATCTTTCAGAAAGATGAATTGTCTTTGATTTTGTCTTATATGTTGAATTATTGACCGTTTCCTTATTTTTCTTTAGGGTTCAAAGATGTTGATGATTCTGCAAACAGATGATTAGATTGATTGAATGCATCTTGTTATTCGGGAGAAGTGTGCTTGAGGAAGTGACTTGAGTGCTTGTGTTGATTACAGAGCTAGGGAGGAAGAGGAAGGCAAAAAGCGGGGGCTCGATGAACAAGGATAAGATATTTAAACTGGCATAGGGATTCAGGGGGAGGGCTAAGAACTGCATCAGGATTACTCGGGAGAGGATGGAGAAGGCATTGTAGTACTACTCCTATAGGGATCGTCACAACAAGAAGAGGGACATGCGGTCCCTTTGGATCGAGCGCATCAATGCTGGCACACAACTGCATAGGGTATGTTATAGTCCTTGCTTTCTAATAAAAAAATCATTAAGGTGATTGCCCTTTTTATTTAAAACAGTCAGCTTATACAAGGTATATAGTATTTTGGATTTATGTTATTTGATGCACTCTCCTATCGTACTCGTATAATTGGTGATCTATGATATGAAATTTTGTATTTTGATCTTCAGTAAGATTTCCAAAATTTGATTGAAGTTTTATCAAGAATGAAGCTTCTGCGACAGGTTATAGTCGGTTAGTATTGGCACTTCATGTCATGGATAACCATCGATTTTTCACATCATGGGCATATGAAGCTCATATTTCCATTTTTAGTTTTTTGAATTTTGAGTATATTGAGCTTCTCTCTTTGTTGAAGTACTACATTGTTTTAGTGTTAGATCAATTAAAAGGATATTATTGTAATTGTACTTTTAGTTAGGAAGGTCAGAGGAAAGAAGAAGATAAAAATTAGAAAGGAAAAGGTAAAATGATAAAATAATTAGATTTAAAGACATCCCCTTTACACTAATATAGTAGATTGTAACCAAGCACTCAAGGAACATTAACATCTAAAGATTGAACCACCTTTTTTATGAACTTGATTATGTATATTATATTATCAATCTTGGTCGTGGTGTGAGATTGTTAGACTAACCACCGGAAATTGGTTGAATAGTACCCATTAGAATCCTTTGTGTGGAAAGTAAATGTGTGTTACAAATATGAATAATCCAAATAATCCGAACCCGATCCATTAAGGATACTATCCCCTCTTTGCATTTGACCTTTTCGACTGGTTCGTCTCAAATAAACTCCAAACTGTACCTCTCGTCGTTGCCTACACCGACGCCACTATATCATCCACAGTTCTTGTATGTTCTCATCAAAATATGATCTTTCATATCTATAATCTTCTCCTTCTTGTCCTTCATCTTTCAGAAAGATGAATTATCTTTGCTTCTATCTTATATGTTAAATTATTGGTTGTTTCCTTTTTTTTTTAGGGTTTAAAGATATTGATGATTATGCAAACAGATGATTAGATTGATTGAATGCATCATTTATTCGGGAGGAGTGTACTTGAGTGTTTGTGTTCATTACAGAGCTAGGGAGGAAGACGAAGGCAGAAAAGGGGGGCACGATGAACAAGGATAAGATATTTAAATTGGCAAAGGGATTCAAGGGGAGGGCTAAGAACTGCATCAAGATTGCTCGGGAGAGGGTGGAGAAGGCGCTACAGTACTCCTATAGAGATCGTCACAACAAGAAGAGAGACATGCGGTCCCTCTGGATCGAGCGCATCAATGCTGGCACACGGCTGCATGGGATATGTTATAGTCTTTACTGTCTGATAGAAACTTTATTAGGGTGATTGTCCTTTTTATTTAAAGCAGCCAGCTTATACAAGGTATATAGTATTTTGGATTCGTGTTATTTGTTGCACTCTCATGTCATGTTCTTATAATTGGTGATCCATGAAATTTTGCATTTTGTTCTTCAGAAAGATTTTCAAAATTTCATTTAAGTTTTATCAAGAATGAAGCTTATGTAACAGGTCAGTTAGTATTGTCACTTCATGTCATGGATAACCATCAATTTTTCATATCATAGGCATATGAAGCTCATATTTTTTACTTTTAACTTTTTAAATTTTGAGTATATTGAGCTTAAGAGAAGTTTCTTTGTCGAAGTATTATATTATTTTTAATGTAAATTCAATTAAGAGGATATTATTGTAATTATATTTTTAGTTAGAAAAGTGAGAGTAAAGAAGAAGATAAAAGTCAAAAAGGAAAAGATAAAATGATAAAATAATTAGAGTTAAAAGACATTCCCTCGCCACTAATATAGTAGATTGTGAGATTGTTAGACTAGCCACCAAAAATTTGTGGAATAGTGCCCATTAGCATTTGGAAAGTAAAATGTGTGTTACAAATATGAATGATAATATAATAGCATAACTATTGACAATAAAAAATTAAAACAAAAAAAAATGTTGAAATATGCAACCGTCATGGTTACATCTTATATGTATGGACTTGGTCGAGTTGACAAGGAGGGTCCATCTGGTTGAATTTTATTTACTGAATATTTTTATCAAGTACTAGGACTACTACTTATGATTTCTCGATAGTCAACCTGATCCCAACTCCCAAGTTCTGTAGACAGTGTATGTTTCCCACACTGTTAGAGCATCCTTTTTCTGTTGTGTGTATATGTTGCTATTTGACCTCACAGGTCCTTAGCTACAAAATTCCATTTCCAATTGTATTCTCTCAACCACAATTTCCCATTAATATGTCCTTGGTCGCTGATGGAATCAATCGAGAGGAATATTACAATTAGGCCCTTCTTATGCATTCTGTTAATATTATACAGATATTAGAATACAGTGTTTGAAGAAGAGTGTCAAGCATTGAATGAACCAAAACAGCTGTCTTATTTACATTCTTTGAACTGCAAATAGACTTGAGATGCCAGGGAGAGTTTCTTTACCCATGTCTCACATGTATGCATGCCAGTTCTCCGAGAACTTCAAATAGGTGATTGATGAAACCTTTTTTCAAACTGTATGGATATTTTTTTCGTCTAAAATGAATAATTTTTTATGAATATATGGGTCACACTAATGATCGATCGATCAAATGATCTCTAATTAAATATATCAAATTAAAAACTTTTAATTAGATTCGTAAAGAACACATTTAAACTAAATTAAAAATAGATAAAATTCACACCTTTGCAAACTGATGTTCTTCCGAGCTACAAACAAACTTCAACCTTTTTGATTGTGGATCTTGACTTGCTGCATCACCGATCAGCCTAGGTTGTGTCGTTGACCTCTCATCTTCCCTGATCAAAGTACTAATTCTGATTACTTCTCCATGGATTCCACTAATTAATGGTACTTATCTAGTTTTTGGTTTTCTGTGCATCTGCTAGGTGAATTGTGGTAATTTTATGCATGGGTTGATGAAGGAGAATATACAACTGAACAGGGAAGTACTGTCAGAGCTGTCAGTCCATGAGCCTTATAGCTTCAAGACCGTTGTTGACATTTCACGCAATGCATTTCCAGGAAACAAGCTCCCTGTTAAGCATGGTTCATCAATTGCTGTATGTCTTGCTTGCTATTTTGTTCAGCTGAACATCTGTACACGTGCTTTCTACAAACATGAATGGAACTGAGAATAAGATTTCTTTGGTACATCTTCTCTGTATTATTAGCTGACTACTAACTCGACATTGTTCATCTGAAACATAAACTGAACAATCAACATTGAGCCACTGCCATTCATCATTAGAGTTAATATATGCAGTTTACCTTGGTATCTTTTGATTGATAATGGATTGAGAGGAATCTCAATTTATCCGGAAGTGTTTCTAAGCACCGAGCCAGTTGATCGGATCAGAACAGCATCGACAAAAGCCTTTATAACTCAGGTTCAGCGTATGTTCTTTGGGTCGATTGAGTTCAACCGACGTCCAAGCCGAGGGTTCGATCAAACCACCCGTTTGCGCGTGCGTACTACTGATCCCTTAACCCTCGCGGTGGTCTTCGCATCCCCATAGGGTCGAAATAGAGCGCTCCCATCGATGGCGTCTGCTGCTCCTTCCTCGTCGTCATCGGATGGGCGCGCGACGACGGGGCGGAGGCCGCTGGGGCTGGTGGCGAACGCGATAAAGCGGAAGCATGGCTTCCTGCATCTCTTTGTCATGACGGGCATCCTCATGCTCAGCATGCGCTCGCTGGGGCAGAAGTACCGGATCCGCGACCTCTCCCGCGACAACGATCTCCTCCGCGAGGAGCACGACGCCCTATGCCGCCGCACCGCTGCCGTCAAGGACGACCTTCTCCACGAAGCCTCCCTTGACTCCTCCGGCCTTCTCGCCGACCACCTCCGCCGCCTCTTCCGCGAGGACACCGACCACTAGCCCCTCTTTCTTCTCCTTGGCGCCGCTCTCTCCCCTCAGGTCGATCTCGATTGTTGTCTCTGTTTGGGTTCCTTCTTATTTCTTGCGGTTATCTTTTAGGTTTATAGTGGTCAAACGACAGCTTTTAATTTGATCGGAGCCCCATCACTCTTTATGGTTTGTGATCTTGCAAAGAGAAACTAATATCTGTTGAAATTACTTTGCTTACCCACTGCTATATTGGGACGATAAGGTACTCTTTGATATTTAAGTGTGCTATGTTACGCTTGTTTGAATTTTCTCTTGAGAGAAATAAAACAATGCTGATAGCTAGTCTGTTTGTTGCCCTTAAAGAAATGTTTGCTATAACTGAATGTTTGCTTTATATACTCCTCTACGTTATTAGTTCGGTCGCAGAAATTGAGAATGCAGTTTGGTAAACTGGTGGAGAAGTGTTTGCTTGATGCGCACTAGGTGTCTGGAATGGTCTGACTAATGAAATGTTAAATGTTCAAAAATTGAAGTCATCTTCTGTAACATTGTTTCAGGTTGTCTGATGCGTTGTCAGTACACATCTAGAGCCAACCAGGTTCTAGATTGAGTCAGAGGCATACCTGACAAGGCCCCTTCAGTACTCAAGTTAGAACAATGGTCGAGTCTCCTAGAGGATAGCCAATGTCATATGCCTTTAGCAAGCATACGGGGGGTCGTTTCATAGGTGATTTAAGGAATATATCATAGTGGTAGTTTTGCTGAATCGTTGGACATACCAGGATAATAAAAGCTGCCCGAACTGTCATGTGTGATAGACGGCTTTATGTGCTGGCAATGCGCTTTGGTCAGATGACACAGGGTTGAGGGGATCTTTGAATAGGTATCGAGCCGATGACGTTTGGGAACCCATGTTTCATTTTTTTCTGTATTAGAATGAAATCATCTTCTAATACAGTATTGGTTACAGCATGAACAAGGGATTTGTCACAGCACATATTTGAATATTTTCTAAAGCAGAGATATTAGAAACATGGTTGATATATTTTGAAGGAAATGTTTGTAAATGGGTAGTTTGGTTCACTTACAATTGTTGCAAAAAGAACATCGAAGCGCATTAGATGTGTGTAGAATATTTATTTAGTTATATCATGATATGTTTTTTTCCATCTTCCGATTTAGATAAGTTGGTTGTTTGGGCATTCTGCTCTTGATAAATGAGGATAGTGACCATATTGTTAAATGAGGATAGGTACAAATCGCAGCTATGTCATGCCATATTATTAGGAAGCAGTAAGCCAGAGAAAATGAATGAAGGCTATCAGAAAATTGTCATAATCATCTTAACAATTATAATAAATGATTATTGAAAAAACTTCTTTAGCCATTTCTGTCTTGGTTGTGATAGTTGTCGTTTGACAACCGTATCTAATTTCTGGCCAATGGTATATTAATGATCATGAAAGTAGTATCTTTTATGGAAATTCATCTTGAAAGATTTCTAATAACTCACATAAGAGTTGTGGAATCAACCGCAAAGTTAGTGACTGAAAATGTGAAAAACTTTAAATTCCTTTGCTAACAAGCATTAATGTAATATGAAAGTAATCAACAACAAACTAACTTTTGCTAACTCAGTCTTGGAACTGAGTTATCAGTTTCTATGGTTTGTGGGAAATTTCTTTATGTTTAATTGAGCTCGAATTATATATACTGTGATTAAGAAAGTCCAATTTTGCGTGACATTTCTCATTTGTTGGTGCTTACAACCATTGGGTTGTGTTTTTTGCTGTCTTATTACTCCACATAGCTGGTTCAGTTTTTATTTTAATTTATTTATATTGCAGAAGTGCTACTTGAATTAGGTTCATGGATTGTGTTACACATGTAGCCTTTTATGTAGAGGTCTATTTTAAAATAGCAAATCTTTCGATAAAAGTTATGTTGCATTCTAGGTTTAATTTACTGTCACTCGTTTCTGAAAGTTTTTAGTTATGATAATTGGGTAGATTTAGTTAGGTTAACATAATCAACCATTTTCTTGATCAAGTATATTTCCTGACGATTCTTCTTCCTGGTTTTAGTTTACCAGTTGCTAAAGGTGATGCTAGACCACGATCATATCTTGGTCGTCTTAAAGTTTCATTATCTCTCTTGAAACAACCTACTCTTTGTGTTGGATAAGAAAATTCCTGGAGTGCTACAAAGTGTCAGTTGGATGTAGAACAACAATTAATAAGGACGGCTAATGTTTATTGAATTAACTGCCTTTTTCAGATGGTGTTTTTTTCTCATTGAGTATAGAAAAGATTAGCTTCAAACTTGAGCCTAAGCATTTTCTATTTAACTCATTTGGTTAACTTTAAAATTAGTTTTCTGGAATCAACTTACTTCCTCTTTCTTGCTACAGCTTTTTAATTTCGTACACATGTGCAGACGCTTTAGTTGTTGTTCATTGTTTGAACTTTGAACTAAAGTTTCAGCACCAGCTGGACCAACACTTAACAACCAGTATTCATTCTATCCAAGGTACTAGAATCGGACCATAGGTCTTTGTATTGCTCATCATTTAGTTAATTCATTACTGTTCGATGACACTGGAGGGTAGAAGATCAAGATTTGTATTACCTGGATTTGAACTTTGCTTGTTTAACTTGCTTGATAACTAGTTTTTTCTCCATAGCTTATTGCTTATTGGTGATCTCAGTCTTCAGTTCATGTGGTCCTACTCGACCCATTATTAGGTTTTCGTTTTTATTATTTATCATGATTATTGATTGATAGTCCAAAATGCTCAAGTTCATGATAGTAATTTCGTTTAGGTTCCTCTCACATTTAGGTAAATTGGGTTTTTACAACAAGAGCCTCAGTCGAGTTAGTTTTGGACTCGAGTCACCTTTCTATTCTATTTCTCCAGCATCCCATCGGAATCTACTGTTTTTTATAAGAATATATAAAGCATAGAGTCCAGCTAAAAAGGCCCGACTACGTCTTGATAACAACGAATCAAGCGTGTGACTGCATTTATACAGGTCGGCGCTCCTTTCCCGCCTATGACAAACGAGTAAGCATCAACGGAAACGGTGCATATTTTGTATAGGTTGGACAAGAACAAACCTCGCCTGGACAAATGGTTCCTGACCCGTGTATTGGCCGATTTCTGCTGAACCGCATCGGACCGTCGTGAAAGCGAACATCGTCTTGCGTGTCGAACCGGACTGATTGACCTCCCCAGGTGCTCGATTGTTGATCCACGCTTAGGCCGCGGATTTGCCGTCGCTGAACCGTGCCCGCCCGTGTAACTCGTTCCGCGGATAGGCCGACTGGTGAACCTTGTAACGAGCCCAAATTATTTGGCCGTTTGGGGTCTTTCATTCGCCCCCTCTCCGCCCATTACCAACCCACATCGATCTTTCCTTGTCTAGGGTGCCGCGCCAACGAAGCGAGCTCCCCTCTCCTCCCTCCTCTGCACACACTCGCCCGCCCAAACCCTAAGGTATGGAACCCTCCACCCGATTCCCCTCTAGATCTGCTCTTGGATTTGCTTTTCTTGATCGCGATCTGTCCGTGATTCGATCTATTTTCTTGCTTTGTTTGTGGTGGGAGCTATTGCTTCCGGTTTCTTGGGGCTCGGTTTTCTTGATGTCGATTGAATCTAACTATTGCTTCCGGCTTCTGGGGTCTCGGTTCTATTGATGTGGATCGCATCTAGTTATTGCTTCCGGTGTCTTGGGTCTTGGTCTCTTGATGTGGATTGAATCTAGCTTTTGCTTCCGGTTTCTTAGGTCTTGGTTTCTTGATGTGGATTGAATCTAGCTTTTGCTTCCGGTTTCTTGGGTCTTGGCTTTGTTGATGTAGATTGAATCTTTTTGTTAGGTGGTGATTTGGTAAAAGAACCAAAAGAAAAGAAAAAAAAGGAAATTAAAGAACTGCTCCTTTGTTCTGGTTGGGCAGGAGATGGGATACATTGGACACCATGGGGTAGCGACGCTTCACAAATACAAGTATAGTGGTGTGGACAAATCGCTTCTTGCTAAGTATGTCTTGCAGCCGTTTTGGAGTCGCTGCGTTGCCCTTTTCCCTCTTTGGATGCCGTAAGTTCTCTCGGTGGTATATGGAAGAATTTTTTTTTTCTGGGTTTTCTATCAGTCTTTTTTTTATCATCAATATTTTTTTGATCGACTGATGTACCTACTTGGTTATTAGCCAGGCTGTGAATATTGCACTATTATTTATGTTATTTTGCATGATATACATGCTTTCGGAGAAAACTAACTTAGAGTTCTTCAATACGGCACCTGAATCTTGAAGTTTGGCATAGGTTCATTACATGGAATTTATTATCACTGTTGTCGATAGTGTTACTTGGACAGGGTGTCGGGTACCAGACATTTAAAAGAATCCCATATGAGAGCTTATGAAATAAAGAGACACTGAGACATGTCTACACACACACACACATTAAAGTAAGTAGTTGTTTGTTAGGTAATATGACTTGTGGTTGGGAAGGTCTAATGGCTTTGGGGAATCCTGATGTGTGAAATCTTTTCTTTGAAATAATATGTCAATTATTAACCTAATTTCCTTTTCTGATGTCTTATATGTGAAATCTTTTCTTTTAACTAATATGTTAATTATTAACCTATTTTCTTTTTCAGATGTCTTATGTGGAAGGTTTTTGGGGGAAATTAGTGCTAAATTTTCATCTGATCTATAGAGTATCCTTTGTTTACCCTGCAGAAACATCTATTTAGTTTCTGCTTAGTTGATGAAATTTATCTATTGTGAAATGTAGTGGTTGGATCTCGTAATGCCTTATAAAGTAGGTTGATACTTGGGTTGGCTTATGTAGAGCATGTAAGGGTAAACCAATTTAACTGAATTTGATTGCTAACTCCTGTACCCTTCTGCTTTTCCCTTGTAATCTCTGATATGATTTGGCATGCTTTATGAACACTGGAAAGTATGTCAACCGAGAGATTAAAATGTGACATCAGCACGGGGCTAGTTCTAGGCCATCCAATTTTAGTTTTCCATTTAGCTGCATGCATCAACTACAGTGAATAAGTTACCTAACAAGAGTTCAAGATATCAAGTTCACTTAGGGTGATGGCATTGGTCTCTATTCAGGTTAGATCATGATTTGCAATATCGTACCATACCTCTCGGTACGGGTGGTACGTACTGGTCTGATAGACCGGTACGGGTAGTACATCGGTACACCTTAGTGTTGTATTGTGTGTCAGTACGCTCGGTATAGCTTGGCATATATTATACCGACAGCTAATCGGTACACCGATATGGTACTGCCATGGACTTAGCTGGTTTTGCCTGAGTCGCGCGGCACCCTTGCGTGTCCGTCTGCAAAGGTCAGCCTCCTTGAAACCTTCTATGGTCCCTTAGGACCTACAAAAGAGAAAATGGGTTAGAGAAAGCGTCTTACTCGGGATCCACAAGCAATCATTTCAGGAAACACTTCATAACTAATGCAAATTACAAACAGACTTCATAAGCTCTGAACGGTCACACAACAAAGGATCCAAAATGGTCCACTATAGATCGAAAGAAAATGGGGCTGCTAAGCCTATTGTCAGCCCTTTACATGCTATGCAAAGCATGAACAAACCAAAAGACACGGACATACATAAGCATTACGTCGAACACCCCATTTACAATTTTGTCCGTGACATTCTCCCCCACTTATTCCTTCGACGTCCTCGTCGAAGCCTTTGCTGATGCTGCAACTCCTTGCCTTTGCTAAGTCTTCAATCTTCTACTCCAACTGCAATGCGCATCTTGGCTCCCAGTTGCTCTCCGTTGCTGTTGTTGAGTAGTCGAATTTTTAATCCGCCATGCTTCTTCAACTCGCCAATGACTTTGACTCTATTGTGGGGTTGGCTAAGTTGGGTTGATCCCTGTTGGTTCTTGCGGATCCTTCAGATGAAGGAAAAGACCATCCTTAGTATGTGCTAGTCTCTCAAATGCCTCATGCCGCTTGAACTGGGTGGATGCCTGTTGGAGCTTTAACGAGCATTGCCTCGCAAACTTTTGAAGCTTTTGGGTCCTTCTTCCATAAAATTTGCCCATCGACTCTTCTTTCACTTAGTTGTCATTTCCAAGTAAGTTCGCATCACTTCCGCTCTCGATTGATATTCTGTTGGGAAATGAAGCAGATAATCTACTCTCAGTAGCATTGATCACCATTGGTGGGGATTTAACAACTATTGTCTTCCATTTGATTTTTTCGAAGGGTCTTTGAACATGTGCAGAGCTCCTCTACTGGATAGATAAGAGAATTAGGGTACTCGATTTCGCCCATTCTCTTAAGAGTTGAGAAGACAAAGGTTACTTGACTTCGCTTACCTCCTCGAGGGTTGTACTCCATGCATCGAGCTGGTTACTAACCTTCGCTCGCTCTTCTTTGCTCACACTTCTGGAGCACTCGAAGTGTTTGCGCTCCTTGCGTTGAGTTAGCTACTGTGATTCACCTTCTCAATGCCATCGAACTTCTGGAATGCAGGAAGTTTTCACCCCAACTTGGAGTAAGTCTCTAATAGTTTTGGTCGCCTTTGGGATTATATCGTCTTCTTTATCAACCCAGCCGCCTACTCCATTGAGTAGCAAAGGTACAGCAACGCGTACTGCTTGCTTCGTTCCTTGATCATGCACTCTCACATCGACCTGAAGTCCTCTAATTTCAGCTATCTTGATGAGAAGCTCGTTGACATCGATCTTACGAAGTTTCTTGGCCTATGCCCTTCAGCCTTGTCTTGGTACTTGGAGTCTGCCTCTGCATTCTCCACCTCCTCGGCCATTTTCACGAACAAGCGCTCTCCCCCCATGAAGCAAGGGATCGATAACTTCACGGAAGTCTCGCCTCTACGGTACCATGACGCTGCCATGCCCATGACCCTATTATCCGTCGCCTCACATCTGTATCCCTTTCTTCGCGATCGATAGATCTGCTTCTATGGCACTGTTGTCACGGACTTAGCTGGTTTTGCCTAAGTCGTGCGGCACCTTTGCGTGTTCGTCCGCAAAGGTCAGCCTCCCCGAAACCTCCCATGGTCCCTTAGGACCTACAAAAAGAGAAAACGGGTTAGAGAAAGCGTCTCACTCGGAATCCACAAGCAATCATTTCAGAAAACATTTCATAGTCAATGCAAATTACAAATATACTTTACAAGCTCTGAACGGTTGCACAACAAAGGGTCAAAATGATCCACTACAGATCGAATATCTCTCACAAGTGTCTACATGACACAACCTTTATTTACAAGCCTAAAATGCCACCAAACCTAACTAAAATAGGGCTGTTAAGCCTTCGACCGTCCTTCTACATGCTGTGCAAAGCATGAACAAATCAAAAGACACAGACATACATAAGCATTACATCAAACATCCTGTTTAGAATTTTGTCCGTGACATTGTGGCACTCCTCCGAGTCCACCTCTATTCTAACCGATGGTTGGTTTTGGGTAGCTAAGTCCCTTTGGACTCGTCGTCGCTTCCTCGCCCCGTTCGACTCCCTGCTTTAACACCGATGTGTTCTCCAAGCAGTTCCCCTTGGTCGATGGAAAGACAGTCTGCAACTCCCATGCATGGCCTCTTCCATCATGTTGTAGGGTTCGCACCGATTCTGTTCTCCTTAGCTTCCTCGTAGCAACGTTCGCTTACTTGGTCTTGTCCTTTGACTTGTCGAGCTCCCTTAAGACAATATGGGCTTTGGAGCAGTCCAACTCTCTAGCCGCTCTGATCATACCTCTACATGATCAAGTCCCTCCCATGGGACTCACTGGTACTTGCATTCAAACTTTGCCTTCAGTGGTACATAACCCCCATATGTTGATGACCAAGGCTTTCATCCGTTATAAAATTCGATGCACGCACGGAAGACCCGCCTTTGCGGTACCATGGCTTTTACTCATTGAATTTATAGCCCTTCTTACCGTCGTGTTGTTCACCAAAGTGGAGCTTCCAGTAGCTCCCGATCATACCTTTGTATGATATAGTCCATCACGGGACTAGATTCGTGTGTATCGCATTGCCACGAATTGTTCCACCATGATCCGCTGCACCATGTCGCTTCCTGGTGACATCTCCACTGTATTCTGATCCTTGTGGGGTGAACTCGGATTGTGATCCCTCCATGTGTGGCCTTTGCCAACACACCGCAAGACCTCTTTCACTTTCGATTGTGTTCGCTTTTTTTGGCAATTGACCTTTGTCCATCCGCTCTCGGGTCACACCTAAACGAAGCACCGCTCTAGGACAGTCCGTCGCCTAGTAGCTCCCGAAGTCCACCGACTTCGCTGAATGTTTGGATCCTAGGCCTCTACCCCTGCAGGCATAATCTCCGCTGCGCACTGCTCCCTTCATGACAACTTGAATGGCAGCACTATGACATATTCTTCAAGAGCACCCACATTCGCGTCCTCTTGCCCCATGCCAAGGCCTTCTGAACCCAACTTCGCCTCCGCGAGTTGATTTGCATTAGTTCCTCCATCAAATGCTTCTCCGAGATAAGGTGCATGTGCCCAGAAGCTCCTTTCGTCTTTGACACCATGTAAGATGAGTCTGCTCCATCAGAATGAAGGACCCATGGATCGACATGATCCCGCTCTTGCCTCTGCAAGAGTTTATGTCCTTGACCTCTGTCCAAGAAAAGCTCTGTGCCTTCGCTCCATGTCCCATCTTCTATGTTGGCTCCCTTCATACGGCTTGAATACTTCGCCAAGTTACACCAAAGTTGCTCCGCTCCTCGATTTGCATTGAGTTGATGATGGTCCTCACTCCCACCATTCCACGGGTCAGCCCTC